ACCTAGCCGACCTTGGGAAAGTATCTCGATGGATTTCTTAGGTGGATTGCCTAAAACCAAGTCTGGAAATGACTACTTGTTTGTGGTGGTAGATCGTTTCAGTAAGATGGTGATTCTCATTCCATGCAAGAAGACCGTTACTGGAGAAGGAGCTGCTAAGTTATTTTTCCAACATGTTTGGAAGCATTTTGGCTTACCTACATCGATTATTTCTGACAGAGACAGTCGATTCTTAGGCCATTTCTGGAGGTCGTTATGGGGAATGATGGATACCAAATTGAAAAGAAGCACTGCATTTCATCCACAGACAAATGGGCAAACGGGGGTCATAAACTGAACTATGGTACACTTGTTGAGGGGTTACAATTCCAAGCATCCGAAGACTTGGGATGAAAGTCTCCCTTACTTACAGTTTGCTTTTAACCGAGCAATTCATGGCTCCACACTCAAATCTCCATTTGAGGTTTGTTTGGGTTATTTACCCCAGAGTCCTTTTGATTTAGCATTCACTATGAGTGACTAGCCATTAAGTGGGAAAGAAGAAGAAGAACATATTCGAGCACAGAAATTTCTCGAACGAGTCAGAAAGATTCATACTGAAGTGGAGGCACAATTGAAACGTTCTCAACAACGATATAAAGCTCGCCATGATAAGCATCGTGTGCCATGTAACTTCAAAGAAGGTGACCTAGTATGGTTACACCTTGGAAAGGAGCAGCTAACCGGTGAAGGCAAGAAACTGAAGCCTATTCGTTATGGACCGTTCAAGATCATCAAACAAATTGGTGATAATGCCTTTCAACTTGAATTACCACCATACATGCATATGTACTCGGTCATCAATGCTGAGAATCTTAAACTTTTTGAGCCATCTCTACTTGATGGTGATCCCGACGAAGACACAAGCCTTCCATCAGTTGATGACTTAAAGATTGAATGAGAATATCCTTTGCATGAGGATTGTATCTTGGAACAGAAGGTTTGTGAGACTCGACATGGAAAGTATGAGTATTTCCGTATTGGTAGAAAAGGTCAACTTCCTAGCAAGTCGAAATGGTATATTCGAGATAAGGCAATAACAGAGTTTCCTCATCTCAATTTAGCTTGACCAGGGCTCAAGCATTCCCAAGGCCCAAGGCCCAAGTCTTGATTATTTAAATATATTATTATTAATCAAGCAAGCCAACCATCCAAGCCCATCAGCCCACTAATCTTATTTAATTGATGTTAAGGTTTCATGCTTATAAAGCATGTGGAACCTTTTGTTTTCTCCAATGTGGGACATTTGCTTTCAAACTTCCAACAATACCCCACATTTGAAATGCAAATTTGGTTTTAAGATAATACATGCAGACTCAAAAACTGGAGAGGAAATTAGATAAAATACACATCAAGATATGTGTCGTTTGGACTTGAACTTTCCCTAGTGTAGACATATTGGATCTACTTAATGAATCAGTGGAATTCACAGCCTTGAACTGTTCATCGTTTTGTAGTAAACCGAGACAATACGCCACACATGCATTAAATCTATACACACTTAAGTTCATGCGGTTGTGTTCATTTTGGTCCTGAACAAATCCCGGTTTCATAGGAGCTTTAGAGAATGTAGTCATGTAATTCTCATAAATGCGACCCCACATTTACTCCTATATAGGTAACGTTAATTAAAAGTATTCTGCCATACTTCTTTTGAATATCAAAATATTAACATCATTAAATGTTTTGTACAAAACATACCCTAAAACTTCTGCATACAACACACTTTGGTCATAGGAATGAGTAAATAGTATGTTCATACCTTGAGCCATTCCCAACCAGTTTGCCTATTAAACCTAGACCATAGGATCTCCAATCAACTAGGTTAGGGTTCCATTAGGTTAGCTCATTGTGAAATTGACATTAAACCCATTCCCCTGGACGCATATTTAATTTGCTCTCTAGGTAGGCCTTTTGTCAAAGGATCCGCTATGTTTTCCTTTGACTTTACATAATCTAATGAGATTATTCCATCTTTGAGCAACTGTCTAATTGTGCTATGTCTTTGCCTTATATGCCTTGATGTACCATTGTATATCTTATTTTTGGCTCTTGCAATAGCTGCCATATTATCACAATGAATACATAATGCAGTTATTGGTTTAGGCAATAACGGTATATCTTCCGTAAAGTTTCGAAGTCATTCTGCTTCTTCAGCAGCCTTGTCCAAAGCTATGAATTCAGATTCCATAGTTGACCGTGCTATACACATTTGCTGGGTTGATTTCCAAGCTACTGCTGCCCCTCCACACACAAAAACATAGCCACTAGTGGATTTCGTTTCACTTTCACCAGAAATCCAGTTTGCATCACTATATTCTTCTAAAACTGGTGGATAACTTGCGTAATGGAATCCATAATTTATTGTGCCTTTTATAAATTGTAGCACTCTGATCAAAGCCTTCCAATGATCATAAGACGGGTTGCTAGTATATCGACTAAGCCTGCTAACTGCGTATGCTAAATCAGGCCTTGTACTATTCATCATATACATTAAGCTTCCAATCACTTGTGAATATTCTAGCTGAGATACTACTGCATCTCCATTATTTTTAGCTAGATGAACTGATGGATCAAAAGGGGTCACAACGGATGGATCATCAAAGTGACCAAATTTTCTAAGTATTTTTTTTGCATAATGGGACTGAGTCAAAAAATAACCTTATCTGATTCTTTGAACTCTAATTCTAAGTATGACATTTGCAAGTCCCAAATCCTTCATATCAAAACTGGAACACAACATTTTCTTTGTAGAATTAATAGTATCTTTGTTAGTACCCATTATGAGCATGTCATCAACGTATAAACACACTATGACACATGAGTTCTTGAAACTCTTCACATATACGCATTTGTCACTCTCATTGATCTTAAAACCATTTGACAACAGAACATGATCAAATTTTTCATGCCACATTTTTGGTGCTTGTTTAAGTCCATACAATGACCTAATTAATTTGCACACTTTCTTTTCTTGTCCTTTAACCACAAACCCTTCTGGCTATTCCATATAGACTTCTTCATCTAATTCTCCATTCAAAAAGGCAGTTTTTACATCCATTTGATGTATCTCCAATTTATATATGGCTGCTATAGAAATTAATATTCTTATAGATGAGATTCTTGATACAGGTGAATATGTATCAAAGTAATCCAGCCCTTCCTTTTGTCTATAGCCTTTTGCTACTAGACGTGCCTTATATTTGTCTATAGAACCATCAGCCTTCAATTTCTTTTCGAATATCCATTTATGACCAATTGGTTTATTACTAGGTGGCAAATCAACCAATTGCCAGGTATTATTTTGTAAAATGGAATCCATCTCACTTTTAATTGCTTCCTTCCAAAGAGAAGCCTCACTTGAAGCCATTGCTTCCTTGTATGTTTGTGGTTCAACTTCTGACAAGAAGGTTAGAAAATCAGGTCCAAAATTTCTTGGGATTTTCGTTCTACTTCCTCTTCTTGGTTCCATTTCATTTTCATGAACCCCTGATGAAGAAGGAATGTCACTTTGATTTTGTTCAAGTGACCTCTTTCTATTTGGAGAGGACCTATTTTCTTTGTAGGGATAAATATGCTCAAAAAATTCTGCATCTATAGATTCTATGATAATATTAACATGAATATCATAAATTTCAGATTTAACCACTAAGAATCTATAGGTTGCACTATTATTCGCAAAACCAATAAATACACAATCTACTGTTTTTGGTCCAAGTTTAACTCGTTTTGGCAAAGGTACTTGAACTTTTGCAAGGCAACCCCACACTTTGAGGGTTTTATATGTCGGAATTCTACCTTTCCACACTTCATAAGGAGACTTATTGGTCTTCTTATGTGGAATTTTGTTCAAGAATGTATTTGCAGTAAGTAAGGCTTCACCCCACATATTGTGTGGAAGCCCTGAACTATTCAACATGGAGTTAATCATGTCCTTGAAAGTTCGATTTTTTCTTTCAGCAACATCGTTTTGTTGAGGTGTATATGGAGCTGTTGTTTGATGAACTATTCCATGTTGAGCACAAAATTCAGAGAAGGCTATAGACTCATACTCTCCTCCTCTATCAGATCTTAGAGCTTTAATTTTTCTCTCTAATTGATTTTCAACTTCAGCTTTATATGTCTTGAACATATTCAAAGCCTCATCCTTGCTATTTATCAAATAGACATAGCAAAATTTACTGCAATCATCAATGAAAGTAATATAATAATTCTTTCCTCCACGAGTTGGTGTTGATTTAAAATCACAAAGGTCTTAATGTATCAAACCCAGCAACTCATTAGACCTTCCAAAAACATATTTGAAACTTTGCATTGCAAATTTTGATTCTGTGCATATTTCACATTTATTATTGTGATCAATTTTAAAGTTTGGCAGCAACCCTAAATTGATCATTCTATCTAAACAACGGAAATTAACATGTCCTATTCCAGCATGCCAAATATCACAAGACTCAACAATATAAACGGAAGCCTTATTTATTTTATTAATAGCATTAGTAGCCAATACATTGAGTCCTATTCCAGCATGCCAAATATCACAAGACTCAACAATATAAACGGAAGCCTTATTTATTTTATTAATAGCATTAGTAGTCAATACATTGAGTTTGAACAAACCCAGCAGAGGCTTTGCACCAGATCCTTGGATTCTTGCGAACGGTGGTGTGCTTCTTGATTATTTAAATATATTATTATTAATCAAGCAAGCCAACCATCCAAACCCATCAGCCCACCAATCTTATTTAATTGTTGTTAAGGTTTCATGCTTATAAAGCATGTGGAACCTTTTGTTTTCTCCAATGTGGGACATTTGCTTTCAAACTTCCAACAATCAATAACATTGGCATTTCTTTTGTTGAAAAATTATAAAGACTTTTTTTGCCAGGAGGTGTATCCAATCCATATTTATAAAGACTTTTTTCAAGCGAGTGACTTTCATAGAGTTTGAATTGGATACACCAAAGTCAACCTAAATTGAAACCTTACCCGACCAAATTTATGTGATTTGGGTCGGGTCTCAACTCTCACCTGTACAAAACCGACATCCTTGCAGAAAAAAAAAATTTATTTAAAATAAAAAAAGAGAAACCCCGCCATTCAAATGACAGGGAAGCAAAACTGAGAGAGAGATGTATGATGAGAGAGCAAGTATGGAGATGGAGCTCATTAGAAAGAAAATGCTTAGACCTTCTCCAACAAACGAAAACAACACCCTCGCTTCTCCAAATACACGCCTTCATGCTCCGAAACTCCCTCGAAACAAATGTCAATCTCCTCACCAAATTCATCACAACCTGCGGTTCCATCGCCCTTTTCGCCTATCATCAAAACCCACTAGCTCTGATTCGACATGGTCGCCACGTCTTCAATCACAGACCCAATAAAGATGACACATTTATCTGTAACTCTATGATCAGAGCCCACATGGATATGCGCCAATTGGCTGAATCTTTCACTCTCTATAGAAATCTTAGGAAGGACACGGGTTTCAAGCCCGATGGCTACACATTCACAGCTTTGGCAAAGTCGTGTGGTTTAGATGTGGCCATCTGGGAAGGGCAAGAACTTCATTGTCATGTTATTAAAGTTGGGTTGTGCTTAGATTTGTATGTGTCGACTTCATTGGTTGATATGTATGCAAAGTTTGGGAGGATGAGTTGTGCAAGTAAGTTGTTCGATGAAATGACGGAGACAAGTCGAGTATCGTGGACAGCTCTCATTTGTGGGTATGCAAGGTTAGGAGATATGGGTAATGCAAGGAGGCTTTTTGATCAAATGCCTGAGAAGGACTTGGCAGCATTTAATGCTATGATTGATGGTTATGTCAAATTTGGAGATATGGGCTTGGCTCGAAGTTTATTTGATGAGATGACAAGCTCTCATTTGTGGGTATGCAAGGTTAGGAGATATGGGTAATGCAAGGAGGCTTTTTGATCAAATGCCTGAGAAGGACTTGGCAGCATTTAATGCTATGATTGATGGTTATGTCAAATTGGGAGATATGGGCTTGGCTCGAAGTTTATTTGATGAGATGACGGATAGGAATGTGGTATCTTGGACCAGTATGATGTATGGTTACTGCCATCATGGTGATGTACAATCTGCTAGATCACTCTTTGATGCCATGGCTGAGAAGAATCTAATTTCTTGGAATGTGATGATTGGGGGTTACAGTCAAAACAAACAGCCCCATGAAGCCTTGAAATTATTTCATGAACTGCAGTCAAATACGTCTCTTGAACTGGATGGCGTGACTGTTGTTAGCATTCTTCCAGCTATTGCAGATTTGGGCGCCTTGGATTTTGGTCGTTGGGTTCACAAGTTTGTACGAAGGAAGAAGCTTGATAGGGTAATTAACATCTGCACTGCGCTTGTTGATATGTACGCAAAATGTGGTGAAACTACAGAGGCCAAAAGACTTTTTGTTGAGATGCCTGAAAAGGAAACAGCTTCTTGGAATGCCTTGATAAATGGGTTCGCAGTAAACGGCCATGGCAAGGAGGCACTGGAGGTATTTTTAGAGATGCAGTGCAAAAAGTTTATGCCGAACAATATAACCTTTATTGGTGTTTTGTCTGCTTGTAACCATTGTGGTCTGGTAGAGGAAGGGAAAAGATGGTTTAAAGGAATGGAGGGCTTTGGGCTTATCCCGCAAATTGAGCATTATGGTTGTATGGTTGATCTTTTGGGAAGGGCAGGATGCTTGGAGGAAGTCGAGAAATTGATTGAGAGCATGCCTTATGATGCTAATGGAATAATTTTGAGTTCTTTTCTTTTTGCATGTGGCCATTCTGAGGATGTCACAAGGGCCAACAAAGTTTTAAAGAAGGCAGTCAAACTGGAGCCATGGAATGATGGAAATTATGTCATGCTCAGAAATTTGTATGCCAAGAAGAGAAGGTGGAGTGATGCAGAGGAAATTAATAGGTTGATGAGGAAGAATCAAGCAAATAAAGAGGTTGGTTGTAGTGTGATAGAGGTTGATGGTATAATCAAGGAGTTTGTGGCTGGTGACAGGGAGCATGCGTATTCCGAAGCTATACATTTAACCTTGCGGCAGACTTGGAAGCACATGATGGATGATTTTATAGAAAAGGGGTGAATTGCTTGAGTATAAAGAAAAAAATATGCATAACCTCTACCAACCCCTCCCCTTTCATCAGTCGTAGTTTATGCTGAGTATACAGGGTAACCTGAAAAATATGTAAGGGCCCTTTTGAGGAACTTTTCAAATGGCAGCCGGTCATGGGGTTTATTGAGAAAGGCATTTGGAACTTGGAAGCTTGAGATTGCAACCAATTATTTGGCAGAGAAAAGTTTTGAACAGTCCAAATACCAATTTTCTTTGAACTTGTGACTGAGAACATTCCTTTCTTACTGTACTCTCGCTACAGTGTAGATCTAATGGTGTATACGGAGAGGTTAATTATTTATCAATTTATACGGAAAAACGTTGGAATATATAAGGGGAAGTAGAGACTCTTCCCATTAATCAGTTTCCGAAAGAGGTGTGGTTTACCAGAACAAAGATACTGCTTCTATATTCGTAAGCTCGTTGGCCAAACCACCTTGCTTAAGCAAGGAAGAAGAAATATAGGGCAACAACAGCTGCAAGATACCTTTACAAAATGAGAACACAACTGCAGACGCCTGCCCTAAGCCAATAGTTGGTCCCAAGCTAAGAAGCAGATACCTTGCTTGGACAGACTAAACAGGACATAAACTATATCCTCAAACCTCTCTCTCTCTCTCTCTCTCTCTCTCTCTCTCTCTCTCTCAAGATTGGGAATGGCTATGAGTTCCATGGGATTGGGAGGAGGTTGGTTCATTTTCTTTTCCATTTTATGTAGTTTGCAGTTGGAGTTTTAGTTTTATGTTTGTCCTCTCATTATCTCTCAAACTTTGCTTTTATTACATGAAGTGTGCAAACCCCCACAAACCCCATCTAAGTATCAAACTCACTCAATCACAAAAACTTACTCCATCTTTAAAACTAAAATAGATCCAGATCGATCCATAAAGGGAGAGTTTAATATGACAAACCGATTCCTCCAAAAAAGAACTGAAACCTTTGAGAGAATTGCATAGATGAAAGAGGTATTATTCAATTAATTACAGAAACATGGAAAGGAAATAATAATTAATGGAGAGGAAATGATAAAAGAGAATTGCTCAATACCTTGCGCACGCTATTTAAAATTAGTCAAGAGTATCGATATGATTGCCATCGAATGAAGTTCCAAGCTCTAGCAGAAACCATTTCCAATTGCAGGTAAAACCTCTTTGAAGATGAATTAAACACAACCAAATTACATGTGATAGATATGTACATATATAAGCATATGCACCAAACCTGTAAAAATATAAAATAAAAATCTCCACAATCTCACTATCCAAATTCAGAGATTCCAAAACCAATAACTAAAACAATCTATATATATGTCTTAAGACAATCTCTTTATACAGGCAAGATTACTCTATCATTTCTCTTCTTAAGACAATGTTTCTTTTCCATATGTTAGTCAAGCCTGTATAAAACCAGTGCCAGATATAGAAATGGTCAACAAACCTCTACACGTATGTCATTTGCAATTTCAATACAGGACCGGCGGACCGCAAATTGAACATTAATTACGGTTGTATGGCAGATCTTTTGGGAAGGGCTGGAGATGCTTGCAGCAAGTCGAGAAATTGATTGACAACATGCCTTATTATGATGATAATTTTGACCTCTTTTCTTTTTGCATGTGGCTATTCTGAGGATGTCACAAGAGCCAACAAAGTTTTAAACAAGGCAGTCAAACTAGAGCCATGGAATGGAATGATGGAAACCATGTCATGCTGAGAAATTTGTATGCCAAGACGAGAAGGTGGAGTGATGCAGGAAATTAATTAAGAGGGTTGATGAGGAAGAATATCAAGTAAATAAAGAGGTTGGTTGTAGAAATATTCTGAAGCTATACATTAATTTAACCTTTGTTGATGTGAGTTAACCTAACAAATCAAGGAGATTTATTTCCTAAGTTAATTAGGTGATTTATTTTCTTTTTTCAGTATAGTTGAAAATCCTTGTATAATTGGGAGATATTCCCCTAATTAATTCATCTATTTCTTTTTAAGCACACTTGTAAACTCCTATATATTCCTCCTTACGGAGAAGAATACAAAATTATCAAATATTCAAACCTTATTCGTATTTTAGCATGGTATCAGAGCGGCCGATCCTAGGTCATCTTTAAGCTTTCACTTCAATCCTCATACCCTCACACTCAAACACAACCCCTAAACAAATTCCTCAAATCAAATTCCTAAATTCTCAAATCAAAACCCTTTATCAAATCCCTAACTCCAAACCCTTTCCCACAATTCCTACACACAAACTCATATCCAATCTTACTTCTGCTGCAATCTCAAGCTACACTACGATTCTCTCTCTCCTCGAAGATTCAAAGAAGCTTGCGGTCAATCATGCTAAACAGGCTACACTGGCTCTTGCTTTTATAGCCACCACCAAAGGTTCTACTTTCAATACCTCATCTCAAAAACACACATGGGTTATTGACTCGAGTGCTACGGATCACATGACATTTGAGCCTAGCCAACTTATTACTCACATGATAGTCGGTGGTGTCTAATGCTAATGGTACCCTCTCCCCTGTGGTTGGGGATAACTCTCTATCTCTCTCTAACTTCATACATCTGGATTCTGTGTTGATTATTCCATCCTTAGACCATAACTTGTTGTATGTTGCATAAATTACTACTACTTTGGGGTGTACTGTAATGTTTCGGCTGAATCATTGTGTTTTTTAGGACATCCTCATCGGGAAGACGATTGGTTGTGGTACTAGCGTGGCAAACTCTACTACTTGGACTTGGCACTAGATAGTGAGACCAAGGTTGGTCAAGCTTTCACAACAAGTGGAGATAGTTCCAAGAGGCAGAGAGATAAAGTTTAGTTATGGCATAAACGCCTTGGGCATGCCTCTTTCGGTTATTTGAAGAAGTTGTTTCCATCATTATTTTCATGTTTTGATGATTCCAGCTTCCAGTGTGATACATGTGAATTGGCTAAGAGCCATTGTGTTCCGTTCCCATTAAGTATACATAAAAGTTTGGTTCCCTTCTCACTTATTCATTTTGATGTTTGAGAGCCTACTTAGTAGCTACTCAGGCTATAGCTCGATGGTTTGTCACTTTCATTGATGATTGCACATGAATGACCTAGATTTCACTTCTCAAGACTAAAGGAGAAGTGAGTTTGAAGTTTCAACAATTCCACAAAATGGTGGAGACACAGTTTCATGCTAAAATTCAGGCTCTCCGTTCTGACAATGGAGGGAAATTTCTCAACCATGATATACATAAGTTTCTTCAAGATCATGGCATCATACATCAACGCTCGTGTCCATATACTCCCCAACAAAATGGGTTGCCTGAGTGCAAGAACCTACATTTACTGGAAGTTGTTTATGCCTTCGTCTTTGATGCCAACATGCCTCAGTCATTTTGGGGAGAGGCAATCATATTTGCAGCTTACCTTATCAATTGGATCCCCTCAAGTATCTTAAATTTCCAAACTTCTCTTCAAACACTTCACCACTATATCCAAATACCTCATACCCCAAACCTTGAACCACGGGTTTTCGGCTGTGTTATTTGTGCACTTACATGAACACCAATGAAGCAAATTCGATCCTCGAGTAGATAAATGTGTTTTCACTCGCAATGCACCCCCCCCAAAAAAAAAATCAGAAAGGATGCCGATGTTACCACCCACCTAGTCATAAAGTATATACATCCATAGATGTTGTGTTCTGGGAAGGGCCATATTGCATTGCAATTCTAACTGAATAGGTTCTTCATCTATTCTGGTTAGCTTGGGTAGCCTTGATATATTGCTAGATGTCACTCTTGGCTCGTGGAAGTCCTAGGATTGATTGTGATCGATCCATATAAAGGAAGAATTAAAAAGGAGTTTTAATTCCAGTTGATTAGAAAGAGTTTTAATATTTTCTCATTGCCTTGCTAATTAGAACCTAACACACCTTAAAAGATTAACTTTGAGTAATACAAATGAGAATGAGGAAATCAATTTGATTGACTTGATGTGGATGATTTACTACGTGTAAAAATGTATTTGGGCCTTAGTAATAGTTAAAGAGAAGCCCAAATGGTTGGGTATCAAGCCCAAGGGCTTAAATCCTACAGTAGCAAGGTCAAAGATAGGTATTTTCTGTCTCAAAGAAAGTATGTGATGGATATATTGACTGACAAGAATGCTAGGATGTAAGCATGCCGACACACCCATTAAGATGAATCACGAGTTGTGTGAAGACATGGACCACTTACCAACTAATAAGGAACAATACCAGCTCCTTGTTGGAAGATTGATATACTTGGCACACACAAGACAAGATATTGCATATGATCTGAGCTTGGTTAGTTAGTTTATGCATTTACCAAGTGTTTCTCATAAGAATGTAGTTGATCAGTCTTAAGGTACTTAAAATCAGCCCCTAGGAAGGGATTAATGTTCTCAATGTATGGAAATCTCGAAGTTATTGGATATAGAGATGCGGATTGGGCTGGATCCATTACAGATAGACACTCTACATCGGGTTACTTTACATTCGTTGGAGGTAACCTTGTCACTTGGTGGAGTAAAAAATAAAATGTGGTTGCTCGGTCTAGTGCATAAGCAGAGTATCGAGGTATGGCCCAAGGAATTAGTGAATTATTATGGATAAAAGGCCTCTTGATAGAATTGGGTTTTAAACCGGAGAAGTTCATGCAATTACATTGTGACAACAAGTTAGCGATTGATATTGCTCACAATCCAATTCAATGTGATCGAACAAAACATATTGAGGTGGATAGACATTTCATCAAAGAAAAGTTTGAGAACAAAATCATCTGCCTGCCCTTTGTAAAATTAGAAGATCAGTTAGCGGATGTCTTGACAAAGGCTATCTCCAGACGAGTGTTTCATAACTCACTTATCAAGTTGGGCATTGGTGATGTGTATGTCGTAAGACATCGTTCTGTCTTGACTCACTAAGTGTGGTCTTATGATCGTACTAAAGTTCTAGAGTTTGACATTAATCAAGAGTTTTATATCCAATTTAATCTACTACTCTGATAAAGATAAGTGTTTAAAGGTAAACAATTAGAGTTAGAAGATATCCTATCTCATTGTGGATTGGGACACCTAAACCTAATGCAATTAGGAGAGCTAGAGAGTTTCTTGATGGGCAAGACTCTCTAGCCGATGCATATAAATAGAGGCCCCTGCTCATTCGATCAATCCATCACAAAGAGCATTCATACCCCACCTAGAATAAGAGTGAAGAAAGGATCGAATTGAGTGGAAGGCTTCTATTATGATTCAGATGAGATCTTGGCTTTATCATCCTCATCTATTCCTATGGCCAATCCAGGTATGCAAGTGTTTGTGTTCTTTATGTATGCAGTATTTAAGTTAACATATGCTTCAACTTAAGGAAGAGTGTTGACTTGAGTTAACTTAACAAATCAAGGAGATTTATTTCCTAAGTTCATCAAGTGATTTATTTCCTTTTTTCAGTATAGTTGACAATCCTTGTATAATTGGGAGATATTCTCATAATTAATTATTGTATTTATTTCCTTGTAAACTCCTATATATTCCTCCTTAGAGCACTTTCATCCCAAAGGGCAAGGGCAAGGCAAGAGCTATCACTATTCACGTGAATAGTGGCAGCCCTTGCCTTTTTTGTTTCCACCCCTGTGGGCAAGGGCAATTACAATTCACTTTAATTTATTTTCTATTTTTTATACTTAAACCATTAATTTTGATAAGATTTTCTGTTGCCACGTGTCACTATTTATTATAAAATTCTCATCTCAAATTTCATCGGATAAAATTTTGGAAATGCAACAAATAAAAAAATAATAAATAAAATACATTAAATTGAATTAAATGGCTTTTTTTTTTTTACCTCGTCACCAAGATTTTGACCTCTTCGAATGTTTATCCACGACCCTCCGGCTTCGATGGAAGAGGTCATTTGTATTTTTACACAAATGAAATTTTGTAGTAGAAAATTTGGTCTGGAAAGTGAAAAATATTGGAATGAGATGAATTTGTATGAAGATTTGATGTGGAAAGTGAATAATATTGGTATGTATTTATAGAAAAAAAATTCCATAATTTTTTATATTTTTTACACTATTTTTTGATTTTTTTTTTCAATTTTTTTTAGCCAAAAAATGGACAGCAATTGGATTTGATAAGATTTTTGGATCGGAGGCTCTAAGAGAAGCCACATGGCTTGTAGCAATTGGTTTCTGGTAGCTGTGGGTCAGCGTTGACGTTAACAGCCTAAAGGCAAGAGAACGGGTCAGATCTGCCCGTGGGCTTGCCTGGGCTCGTGGGACCCACCCCTTGCCCGGGCTAGACTTGGAGCACTGGAGTTGCATTTTGGCCCTTGGGCCCCCTCCTGCCCGGGTAAACCCTACGCGGTGGAGTTGCTCTTACAGAGAAGAATACAAAATTATCAAATATTCAAACTATATTCATATTTTAGCAACCTTGAGGCAGAGTTGGAAGCACATGATGGATTTTATAGAAAATGGGTGAATTTCTTTTGAGTCTAGAGAGGAAAAAAAAAATGCTGGGTAACCTGAAAAACATGTAAGGGCCCTTTTAAGGCACTTTTCAAATGGCAGAGAAAAGTTTTGAACATGCCAAATACCAATTTTCTGTGAACTTGTGAGTCGTGACTAAGAACATTCCTTTCTTACTGTACCTTCTCTACAGTGTAGATCCATCGGTGTATACGGGGGGAGGTTAATAATTTATCAATTTATACGGAAAAACATTGGAATATATAAGGGGAAGTAGAGACTCTTCCCATTAATCAGTTTCCAGAAGATTGTTGTTTACCGGAACAAAATGCTTGTATATTCTTTCGTAAGCTCGTTGGTCAGACCACCTCGCTTGTTAAGCAAGAAAGAAGAAAAATATAGGGCAACAACAGCTGCAAGATGCCTTTGCAAAATGAGAATACCGCTGCAGATGCCTGCCCCAAGCCAACAGTTAGTCCCAAGCTAAGAACCAGATACCTTGCTTGGACTGACTAAACAGGACATTTACTGTACCCTCAAACCTCTCTGTCACTCTCTTTCTCTATCTCTCTCTCTCTCAACATATATTATATATACATACACATACATAGTTATTGGACCTGCTATGACAAGGTTTCTAAAGGATGGGAATAGCTATGAGTTTCATGGGATTGGGAGGAGGTTGGTTCATTTTATTTACCATTTTATATGGGTTGCATTTGGAGTTTTAGTTGTGTTTTTGTCCTCTCAGTATCTGATAAACTTTGCTTTTATCTCTCATATTTTTCTTCGCAGTTGTTTTTCTTTCATTCTCAATAGAGCATCTTTGAATAATTCTATGACACTTATAATGATTTGGAGCTGGTTATTTGCATTACAGGGATGCCATCCGCCCAGATGTTAAATTTTGTAATGGGAACGGTATACAAGCAGTTCATAGAGAAAGATATCAGCAACTTCGAGGAATTCCACATCGCCATTCTTGATATTTTCAAGTAAGCGTGCATAAATGTAACCACAAGAAAAATGTTCATTACAATATGTATGACGTTAAAAATAATCATGCAAAATGCAGATGTGGGTTAGACTAGTTGACTAGGACAATGAGCCGCAACATAACTCTTTCCTTTTTATTTTTAATCGGCCTAAAGCGTATTGTTGTAAACAAACAAAGAACTAGTCTCTAAAGCATGTTCTTTCATAAATATTCTCACCAAATTTCAGCAGATTTCCTAAATTTTGGACAAAAACTATAAACTATAAGCATGTTTTTTAAAAATTTATTTTTATTAAAAGCTTCTAATCCCTGCCCCTTAACACAATCTTATCCAGCACTTTTAACGCAGCTTTGCCTGGTAAACACTACGATGCGCCACCACACAAGGAAATAGAGGTCAGTTAAAATTACCCATGCATCTTCACTTCACTTTCCAAGCTCTCTCTAACACATTAACAATTAGCAGGCTGTATTCAAACAATGGCAAAAAACACCAGAGGCAGACAGGAAGAAGCTCCTCATCGAATTTCTGAAGAAAAATGTGAAGCTTAGCAAGGTTGATGGCACTACCATGATAGCAGGAATAGTAACACCACCAGTAGCCATGGCTACTAAAAGAGCAGGGGAGAATGTTCCCCAGCTGAAAATGATAAAGGCCATTCCCGATGTTGTTTTCGTACCATCGGCAACTGTGCTGGTGCTCATTTCTGTTAAGATCTCCAGAAGGGTTTTCATGGGGAAAATAGCATCTTGATCATAATCTATACTTTATTGTAACATAAGGGCATGTACAATACAATTGCTACAATAATACAATTTATGTTGCTGAAATATTTCTCATCAGAATAAACAGAAATGGCTGCAAACCAGAGTGTGAGACTTTGATGCAGGGCAGCGGCTATAAGCTGCTGTCCAGCGACCCACACATACTCAAAATACAGAGGATACAAGGATAAAGCAGTAGAATCGAAGTTGGAACGCAGATAACTGAGTTCTAGGGCAAAATCCCAATAGAAACTCTATTGACTAAGTCTAAAATTATATTCATCAACAAAAACTAAATACAAGAGTCTCTTAATAGCCTATTTATACTAGAATATAGAAAACCTAATTGACATAGGAAATTAAAAACCTAAACAGGAAATTAAACCAAATCCTAGTAAGAATAGGAAAACAAGTAATAAAATAACCAATTAATTTAATATTACTAAAACTTAGCCTTATTGGCTGATGCCCACTTAGATTAGGAAAGTCTAATAGATGCTCCTGCATCAGACACCTATATTCATAGAATTTGCCCCATTCACTTGACACTGAAATTGCTCTTTACAGAGACTTGGAAATGTAAGCAATTAATTTGATGCTAATATAGCACCCCATAATTCAGGAAAAATGCCCAAAATCAATTGATCAAAAGCATCAAACAAAATATTAATGTTTCCACCAGAGTAGAGTGTGTTTGCCTAAATGAGCAGCATGTACAGTTGAAATCATATTTGCATGTATGAGAGCATGTACAGCAGAATAAGCAGCATATACAAGATATCATAACAAAAGTAATATTATGTCACTTCTAATCCCGCTAGCTTTACGATTTCCGGCTCAACTTATATGCATACGAGCCAGGTTTTCTCCTCCCTCGATTTCTTGTGTTCCAACGGAAATTCGTCCTGGTGGTGGAATCTGATTCATGAGTTGCATTAGGTACACTGGAACTTGTCGGCAATGCAGTTTCCGAAACCGGAACAGGAAAGTTTGTGGGCAACTCAGTTTCTGAAACCGGAACAGGAAAATTGGTTTTCTGCTCTTCAAGTGATATGTGAGGCTTCTGGATGAGCTGATCTTTAACTTCAAAATTATATGGCTCATCCTTGACAGCAGCATTAGGTATAAGGTACCCATCCTCAACCTGAATATATGAAGGAAAAATCAGTCTGACATATCGTGTGTCACAATACCACATAAGGGTTACAGTCCATCTTCATGATTGATCCAGTATGATGATTTACAAGACTCGGTTTTAATTATTATTACATGACCACGTAACAGCTAGCAATTGGTACAACCCTATGAAATTGGACGGTCAAACTAGGGAAAATTAATAACAGCATTTTTTTTGCTAGTTGTAACATTGAATCGGAACATGGCCAGGACCCAAACCCAGCCAGCCTGGGAAAAGTTAGCATGAAGAAGCCCACAGAGTTGTCCCCTTAGGGACAATAACAGGATACTAGGTTAACTTGTTCACCTTGTAAACATCGACTAACAGACAGTACAATGGTCACCGAGATTTTCACCAAACTGGGGTTTAAAGCAAGATTACTGCATGTCTATTCTGAAGACAATTCTTTTCCATGGGTTAGTCAAGCCAGCATAAAACCAGTACCAGATATATAATGGTCGAAAACAACGCTTATCATTTGCAATTTCAATATAGAACCAATAGAAACAAGAATGCAAGTATATATATATATATATATGTGTGTGTGTGTGTGTGTGTGTGTGTGTGTGTGTGTGTGTGTGTGTGTGTGTGTGTGTGTGTGTTGACTGCAAGATTGAAACCCAAATCAATAAACATGCTCATACTCAAACCCAAATCAATAAACATGCTCATACTCATGAATATACTACCAACAAGTGTAAACCAACAAATGAAAAGTGTTGAAATCAGTTCAAAAAATAAAAACTTACATTTTCAAGTACATTGCCAAGCCAAGGCTGATCTGTATTTCCAGTCATACCAGGAAGAGGGGTCAGCTCTTCATGACTTGAAACTGCACTCTCAGGTAAAAATAGATTTCCAATGTTAAACTCGACATGCTGAGATGCAGTGGATAAAGTTTCCACTAGTAATGTATTTCCATTTTCAGGAGGAGAAGCAGGATTTTGAGCAGAGCCATTCAATGTATCACATGGTATTAGGAAATGGTTAGCAGAAAAGTTCCCTGGATTTTCCTGCACAACCTTGTCAATTCGAGTCTTCAACTGCCATACTTGTGAATGTACCACTTCAATCTTCCAAAGAATATCTTCCAAGGAACTATTACCATCTCTGAACTCGAGAGATGACCATATATCATTTGTCTCAAACTCATTATGGCCATAACTAGTTTTACCTCCTGCTATATTGATGAAAGATTTAAAAGGGAATAAAAATAATGAACAAATATTATTAAAACAAAAACAGAAATTGGACGCTTTAAAGTGGTACATGATCTAATAATAGATTTAAGCATTCAACGATAATATATAGAAGATTAAATAGCATGAAACCAAAAGACAATTCAAAGTCTCAACATTTTCAGGGAACAAATCAAATGCTTTTAAGTTACAGAAAATAAAATATAATATGCAATTAACATCTTCACTTTCAAATTTGCAATTGGGGATGTGTTTGTTCCACTATGTAAAACAAAATTGACTTCATTATGGGAACTAAATAAATGGATACACAAACAGACACACATGCACATACATTTATTTGTCAAAGACGGTCTGCATATGAAAAATATATGCATGCAAATCCATATGAAGTCAAATCGATATTCCATACTTACCGAGATCACCCCAGTCTTCCTGCATGCAAACACCATTAGCAGCAGTCTTCTTACTTTCAGGAACTAAGAAAGAACAAAAAACACAAGTCAGACGTGTAGTTGCAAATCAGACTTGTAGTTGGCAACAATGAATCAAGAAAATTTTGGGAAATTAATACCATAGGAGAACAGATTATGGTGTGACATATACGATGCTATGTCAGTAGTATCTTCAACTCTCTTTCTTTTCTTCCTTTTCATCAACTTTGGTGTTGGCATTGCATCAAAACCTTCTGATGTGAAGCCCTCAAATGCAGACAGCTTTTCTTTGTCATACTTTGCAAGTTCTGACTCATACTTTTGGGTCTGGGACAGAAGTTCCTTAATCTGCAGTTCCAGCCATTTAAGCCGCCACATTTCAGGACGTATAAACTTCCTCCACTGGGGGGTCAACTTTTTCTTCCTAGAAAATCAGATGTACACATAAACCATGTGAATGTGACGTACAAATACAAAATCCAACAAAGAGTATATAATCATGATAACAATATGGTGGGCACAATCATCAAAAATAATGAAGAAAGTAAATCCTTTGCATCAAAATAATTTTGCAACTATGCCCTTTTTTTATATTAAAATTGATGTTCAATAAAGTGGTAACAAAGTTCAACATGTGTAGCTGACCATGACTGAAACATGTGAGATGAGAAGCACCGTATGAAAAGAAAAGAGATACACGCACATCCACAATGTGGAACCTTGCCCTCATCCTAAAGGGGAAATGAAACCCATTACCCATCCTTACCTACCCCTACCAGACATGTAAAGTTTTGATATCTTTTTAAAATAACACATAGAGAAATTTCATATAGTTTCTTTTAAATGTAATTTAAAGACATTAGAGGTTCAAATGACCAAGCATAACATAACTAAAACAGGAAAATTACAACAAAAACAAATATCAAGCACTCACTACTAATCAACTATGAAACAAAATTATTAGTAACACTAGAAATACAAGTCAAACTTAAAGATAACAGTTGTTTAAGAGTAGTGAAACATCCAGAAACACAGCCTCCATAGTTAACTATTTTAAAGTACAACCAATGTAATTTACCATCCAATTCTACCACCACCATCCTTGAATCTCAAAGAATATCCCAACAGACTTTCACACCAAGAAAAAGTTGAGAAGAGGAAGAAAAGTAAAGAAATAAAAGGAGGGCATAAGTTAAGCAAAAAAAAGCTTTTGTAAATATCAAAAGATATGCATACAACCCAGGGCCAGAAGGAAGGGTTTGAACCCATGCCCGTCCAGCAAGCAGAAATTAATGCTCACCTTGTTCATTCCCATCCCTCTTTTTCCTGGTAATGCAGCTTGGAACCCAACCAATCAGGCATAAATTTCGATCCTAAGATTTATTTACACAGAAATTCAGACTTAAGAAATTTTCCAAAGAATGACACCAGCCACAATCCCTCTCAAGGCCTCAAGCTAAGGAAATTCAAACATCATAAATGTCTGAAAGGATAAGTTTTTCTTTTTTTGGTACAACAAAATGGGAAACCCCATTTGACAAACTTAATCAGAAAAACTTCTATTGAACTTCACTACATGTTTCAAAGTGTATAATCAATATTTTGACAACTGAGCACTAAATTGCAAACAAGAGATTACCTTTACAATTGTATTCTAGGCTTGCAAATCATTCAATGCTACCCTATAGAAAAGATTTAAGTAAGACATAGAAGAAATCATTTAAACCACAATGTACCTTGTTTGAAATGCACCAAAATATCCATCATATACTGAAGAGAACTCATTTTCACCTAACTGTGAATCAGCTTCGTCACCATCCAACGTTGAACCATCCTCTGTCCCAGAAATTGTATCACCAAAAGAACTCGAATTCTCTGTCAAATCCCCACATTCACCTTCAAGAATCTGAACATCATCAGGACTTGTACCACCAGTTCTGTTTAGCTCCGCATTCTCCTTTTTATTTGAGGCAGTAGTTTGTCCAACCAATGTTTCTTCCATTTCCAAGATATTATCTTTGTAGTTACTTACACAAGGCATAAACTTATCGTCTACGTCATGATGGGTAGTTCCATCCTTAGCAACTGAAACTTCCATAGCAGCTCCCGACTTTGGTTTCACCTCCAATTCAGGGCCCATCCTGCAAATTCATGTAAACGCAATTCCTTCCTTCTGGCAATCAGAAAATAATTCAAAACCATTTATGTCAATGTCAATTCAATCTATAACAATAACTGCAGCCATAAGAATTCCCACATCAAATTAATTAAAGAACCATGCAACTGCCCCTACCCCAATCAAACAAAAAGAAAATTAAACTCAAGACTTCTGGTTTGTAACCTACTAAAACTAATCCTTCAAATACATTAAACAAAACCAACAGTCCCTTCCGCACAACACCACCCCCCCCCCCCCC